TCTCTGGCTCTCTGGCCAGAAAGTATCAGAAACTTTGGCTGGCTAGATCGTTCAAGAGATATGTAGGTGAAAATGGACATGGATTGATCGGGCATACGTGGGTCTTTGGTACGAAGGTGACATGAAGGAGATCGTTTGGGGAGGAGGGGATAAGAGATTATGGGCACTCGTGAGACTAGCCAGCTGTTCCACTCGGAACCCAAGGGGATAATAATAATACAGACTGCCTTTTTAGGCAGTTTTGGCTTTATATTATGCTATAACGGCGATGAATAATACAAAGTCTATATATATGGTATCTGGGAAAAATTATCTGGTCATTGCGACAGAGTGAACACATCTAACCAGAACTCATTGTCTGTACCGTACTTTTGTAGTTTTATTACCGCTTGAACTGAAGTTTCAATTATCAAATTTGACAACAGTAATGTAGACATCATCTTTGCTGTTGCTTGACGATGTGGTTCTGTTGAATGAAATACTCGATTATAGTAGTCAGTAGGATCTTTTGTGGATAATCTTGAGTAAATCTATCTGAAATCAGCTGTCACGTATTGTATGCACACAGCAATGTTATTATCTATCTTTAAAATTAAAATAATTCCAGTAATCAATATAGCCCAGATATTAGATGGTTGGAGGCAATCGGCCACAGAAAGTCCCGTTTGATCTAGGTTTCGTACTAGTTGGCACTCACCAGTCAGCAAGGCGTATCTGCAATCACCTTGAAGGAACTCATGTCCCTCCTTCTGAGATTCGAAACCGCGTTACCCAGTGCTGCAGTCACTGTTGCAGCACTAGACACAGTAAAAAATAGCCCAGATATTTTCGCATTGCAAAACACAGAAACCTGAATTCTGTATTTGGCTATGGGTGCTCAGTACTCATATATTAGGACTAAACACTGCAGTCTTGTGGTCATTAGTTTCAGGCAGGTCTCTGCACCCGAATAACAATCAAGTTACTGTAAAGTGTTCAGACATTTTTTCTAATTGTTGATTACTTTTCGGAGACAGTTAAAACCAGTTAGACAGTCCAGAACTAGCTAAAATGAGCTCAGATCATCTTGAATCAAGTCCAGGCAAATTAATCCATTGGAACAAGGCAGAATATTTATTGTAATACGAAACGACAACTTAGAAATTCTACTTTATGCAACAAATGGAAATGGTAGCTTAACTTCTTGAAGTGTTCAATATTTGTGCATAGTGTGTTCTTTTGCATGCAAAGACTGAATTGTTCTCACTAGCACAAAGACTATGTCATACTTCGTAGAACTCTGAAGACTGTCAGTCAGTAGGGCGAGTGGTATCCCATTGGGCCATATCGTTGACATTGTCATTGATTGAAAGGCACTTGATGTCATACAAGAAATTTGCTAAAGGAATTTTGTCAGACTGTGAGCATCCACTGCAGCACCCGAAGCTCCAACCTTGTGTCTCCTCAGGTAACAAAAGAAGTCTTTTCAAAAGACTTTATGCACGTACGTCTAAGTATAAAAATTCCACTATACCATATTTGGATGCACGTACTTTATGTGATGAAAATAGTGTCAGGCATGAACTAACTAACCTTCTTAGCACCACTAAATAAACCATTCCCCCACCCTTATAACATCAACCTTTATTGTTATTGTACTTCTTATATTTATAATCCTCTCATTTTTTTCGTTTATTTTTCTCATAAGTGTGAACATCATTTAAGCTGTGTTATAACTGTTAATTTTTTGCCTTTCCCCTCACCATGCTACTATATCAACAGAACACTAGATTCAATAATCTATAACATGCTAAAATTTCCAAACTTAATCGACAATACTGTTTGAAACAAATTCACTGTTATTATTATTATATTTGATATTCTCAATTGATACTTCGAATATTTTTGACTTTATATCGTAAATGTGGACAAATTCCTCTGATTAATTTTGTTTTAATTTTATTTACATTAGGAGCATATCAGATGCAATATTGTGACAAATGCTGAGAGAACTCCATTCTGTATTAGAAGTACTGTTCGTCTTGGAATAAAGTAGATTATTATTGGTTACAGGATTTCATCATGAGCTGACATTGGTTAGAGAACCCCTGGAAATCCTGGGAGTCCTGTAACCAATAAACCAAAGCCCTACAAACCAATACTTGAATAGATTATTATTATTAGCTATGATTTAACTTTTAACCGATCAAATCCCTACGACCTAATTACTTGGAAATAAGAATGAAACCGACGACAGGCAAAATTTAAGCACCAGAAAGTATAAACGGACAAATGACCTGGAGCGCACCAACCACATGATAAAGGCGATTTCTGCGCATAAAATACATACATTCATGAAAATAATGAATTCAAAGGCATGAAATTGTTACACAAGATACCATTCTTTCTCTGCCACTTGAGAGAAATGCCTCTCAGTTTTGGATTGGAGTGTCAACAGAGTAATTTAACCACATTCTACGCGTGTAATTATCCAGGTCTTCGAATCCTAACAATAACCCTAATCTACCTAGAACCAGCCGTAATGTAGCCCTCAATAAACTGTTCTTAGCCTCTAAACCTTAACGTATTCTATCGCAAACCTAACCTGAAACTTGCCAGATATCCCATTTAATAACACAATACCTCATTCTTTTATTCCTTTCTATCTGTCTGTATTCGACATAGAACTTTGCACAGATGTGCGTCAATTCAAGTCGCCACACTCCATGTAGCACACAAAGCAAAAGAAGAAATGCATAACATAGACAGTAAACAGAGGTGAGAGACAAAGGAATAGTAATAACGAAGAACAATATGCTTTCATTGGAGATCATAAGTCACGAGGAGTGGATGTATCTGTGCCAGCTATTGAGAACGATTTTGAGCCATGTCACCAATTGTTTCCAACCATTGGTTTTTACCGTCCCGAGGACCCCAACCAGCCAAGAAGTCTACACCTTCCTACGTGGCCTAGACTAACTGTTGTGAATTTCATTGACTGGTGCCATGTTTTGGTTTGACCGCCGCTAGCTCTTTTCCAGCCTGACCCTATATCAGCTAACATTGCCCGTAGTCGAGGAAGGCGATGACTAGACATACGTAACACATGTCCTAACCATCTCATTCAATGAAATTTCACAACCTCGTCGATTGATTTCCCCTCCTTACCTAGCACTCGACAGAGGCCTAACCTCAATGTTGCTCACCTTATCATATCACTTCACACAGGAGATAGAACGCAGGCACCTATGATCAAAGACAGCTAGCCAGGCTTTTCATGTCTTCCACTCTCAATGGCCCTGTCTCACAGCTAGCCATAAAGGAGGATGGAGCGGACTGATGAGCAGTACACACGCCCTTTGGTCGACAGCCAGTCGGATATCACGTCTGATAAGCCAGAGACGGCGTAAACTGGCATATGCGAAACTAGCCCTGTGTATCCGTGCTGAGATTTCGTCAGCATTCCTTTACGTTCCGAATGGAAAATAGGGAGGTTTCAAGCTAGAGGCTTGAAGTTTCTGTAGCAGTGGTGTTTACTTTTACAGGATGAGGTCGCTAGCCTCACCCCCAACCTTCCCTCTTTACCAGCCTTGTTACTGGATTAACGAGGTAAAGGAGTGCGTCGGTGGCCGGGATTCAAACCCCGGACCACCTGCATGATAGGCGGGCGAGGTTCACGGTGATCAATCAATCCATGACCACAATATTATCGCCTAGTTTTGACTAACTTGCTCACTACACTGGGCGTTTCAAGGTCATTATTGGTGCTGCAGTCGCACTCCACTGGTACACAAGTAAAAACACACAATTACACTACTGCGACTAAAAAAACAGCCGAGAAGGTGGTTATTTTTCATCGTCAATACACCAACAATAAAAATTAAACAAACAAATTTGGTGGATAGAAGAAAAAGACAAATATATTAAGTAGTTTCTACCTCAAATATATATATTTATATTGTATTCAGCGTGTCCGTTTCTTCTATATGTATAAAAGGAAGGTCTAGTTTATGATAAAAGAAAACCAGTAGTAATATTAGTAATAATAATAATAATAATAGTAAACAAAAGCAGGAGAACGCATTCTCAAATTATGAAAACAATAAAAATAAAGGAATAAATATTATAATGTGTAAAACAGTACAAAACAGATAGATAGATATATATATGTGTGTAAAATAAAATTTTTTATCTATCCGGTAGATATGCTTAGGCTCACGAGTGAAAATATACAAGTAGTATTACAAAAGAATTTTAAAAAAGGAATAGTAGCACAGTTATGAAAGTGATATGTGTGTAAGTGTGTACGTTGTCAACGAGTGAATAGTTATCAGGTTGTAAAAGTAAATCACTAAAATTTCTTGTAATATTATTTTTTTCTAAAAAAAGAAGAATTATAGTAAACACTTTTAAAAAATAAACAATAATAATAAAAATAACAATGTGATGTCAAAAGATTTGTGTGTATAAAGGAATGCCTAGTGTTGATACTGATGCCTGATACGCGTATAAAAAGGGCAAAGCACTTGAATAATATTCGTATTCAGTACTAGATATTGGATGTGTGGTGCAGTGGATGGAGTACGCAGACTGCCGCTACACTAATTTACGCTAATATTACGTCTATATGTATGTTTGTATACAGATATAGGGTGTAAAGTGAATTTAATCAAGCGGTGGTGATCACTGCTCATACATACAAAAATCATCACAGCGGGAGAGAGAGATAGAAAGAGGGACGCACTGGACAATTCTACAAACTTGTTGTTTTGTTGTATATAATATAAAAGAAGAACACTGTTCTTTTAGAAACAAGGATTAAATTAAAGCATAATCATTTTTAAAAAAACAAAAAATTAGGGAATGGAAGCCCCAGACAGTGAAAACCAGAAAAAAAATGTAAACAACTACTTCTTTGTTTTTCGATAGAATTAAGTGAGTCATAGATAATAATAATAATAGTAATAATAATAATAATGAGGATATGATGAATTCGATCGTTAGTTTTGTTCAATCAGCGCTCATAGCATCCCTTCCACATTGCCTGATTGTCTTCGATGCTAAAATATACACAAAAAAGAATAGTTAAAACAGCTTCAGAGATTATTATAATAACAAAAAGAGAGGAGAAAATAAATAGTAATTCATGTCTAATCTGGAATTAGTTGTGTGTCTGTCGGAGCTGGTTGGTGTTTAATCGCGAAGCTTTCGTCGTCCTACTGGACAACGCCCCTTTCGGCGCAAGTGTTAGCATAAAATGAAGACATTGCGAAATGGTCGCGCTATGTCGTGAATTGGCAGAAGTTAGAATTCAAGGACCATTGGATCGGGTCCCAGTGGCTCAATGGTCTACGAGCTTGCCTTGCAACCAGAAGGCCCTGGGTTCAAATCCCGGTGGGTGCGTACTGATGAAGAATCCCAAACTAGGGCGAAACAGCTGTCCAGTACTCCCATGTTTTTCAGTGGTTCTCTAACTGACGTCAGCTCATGATGAAATCCTCCATGCAATAAAATCAACTGATTTAAATTCTCCATGAAGGATCGGATCGTGTCTCCTGGCAAACCATCTTCGTGACTGGTAGTTAATCAATAAAAGATGATCAATACATCCGTCGCCAGGCATCTCCTCGACACGGGTCATGAGGTGGACGTCGAAAAGTCGTTCAAAATTATCAATAGGCAAAAGGGCTCAATTCTCCTCAAGTGTGCTGAAGCCATTTCTATCAAGCGCCTAAAGCCTGACTTATGCGTTCAGAAAGAAGCGGTTATCAGTCCTTCTTTGCCCTGGTAACTGGATATTTTTCATCCGGATGCGAGACGCTGAAAAGTTTTCATTGTGTATGATTATTATTGTTCGGAATTATGTTTAATATTGCATATATAAATAATTAGTGTATGCGTATATTGATCGATTCATTTCTGTTTAAAATGAACTCTGTGCAAGTATGTTAAAATTGTTTTTGTAGATACATTTCATAATGTCTTTGGCCTGTAAGCAGCTGACGAGAAGGCAACGAAATAAAAGATTGTACCATTTTATTCTGCTAAAACTGTAGTTCTTGCTCTTTGCAAATTCATTAAGGGGAATAAATGTATGAAAGCTGAGCAATTAGACCCACTCAACTGAAAGAATATAATCACATTAAAATCATCCACCTGAGCTACAAATCTCTACTAGACAAACGAGTGAAAAAAGGAAGGTATTTCGAACCTTATAACAACAACAACAAGAAAAGAAAAAGAACACACGCTTACCGATCGTCCAGAATGCTTTGCTTTACTATAATTAGATGCAGCACCATCATAATCGTTCGTTGCCAGCTGTTTTCGATGCTTAGAACTGGATCTGTACTGATTCAAGTCGTTCGGTTCATCTTCAGTTAGTGTCACAGTCTGCTCTTCTTCTTCTTTCTCCTCTGAAGGATATTTTTGTTTTGTACGATTCGAGTTACTCGATGATCGCAATCGATCAGATGGTCGTGCTTTTTCCTGATGATGATGATTAGGAACCATTACACCTCCAAATACTGGCACTCCGCCTACAGGCGGCCTACGTCCAGACGACTGAACACTAGCTCTTGTATTGTGATCAGCAGAGTGAGCATTTCCATACTGCATAGTGTTAGTAGGAGTTGAGGCACCTGCTTCATCATCTTCATCACCACCATCATCATTATGATGGCGATGATGGTGTTTCTTATTATTTCGATGATGTGCTTTAGTGTTTGCATAAATCGGAGAGTTTGCTCGATGTCCATTGGTGGTGGAACTGGAAATCTCAGAAGGATGTTTACCTCGGCGTTCAGCATTCTGATCACGTTGAGTAGAATAATCACTTTGTTGAGATCCACTGGTGACAGACAATACTTCATTGGGTTTTGTTCGTCTCGACTGTCTGTAATTCACATATTCATTATCAGGAAGAACATCACTTCTATAGCTCCCGGAGACGGATCCATACGAAAGACTATTTGCAATCCCTTCACTGTATTGTCTACTCATTTGAGAATTTGCATCTTGTGCTTCAGAGACTATAGATCCAGAATATGGGTGATTCCGGGGGACAGTGCTGTATAGTTGCGGTGTTCCATCTCCATTCATCTAAGATAGAAGTCAAAAAAGAGAATATGATTGTTATTAGGGCTACAGAAATCACATGCTAAAAATTCCATACTTGTATCAAAAAAATATTTAAAAATTGTAGTTGACAAGCTGAACCACTTTCCTGCATAATAACTTCCTGAGCTTAAAACAACTCTTTAATCATTTCAATTTAAACTGATAATGGATTGATTGGTTGGATGATTTCATCGTGAGCTGACATCAGTTAGAGAGGGCCATTGGAAAACCTGTAGGGAGTACTGAATAGCTGTTCCCGTTGTTCTAGTTTGGGACCGACCGACTCTTCAGCAGTACGCTTTCACCACAAAAGTTATCATTATTATTGTTTCCTTTGATTCCTAGAGGAACATAGGGCTTCAGCCGTGCGTCTCCATTGCGTTCGGTTCTCTGTCAGAGTTTTCACCTGGCTCCAAGTCTGCCCACACGTTTTCATCTCCTCTTCACATGACCTCATCCAAGTCACCCTTGCACTGACGACCAACTCGCCGCTCCCCATTCGGGTTCCACTCGAGCAATGGCTTGTCTAGTGATGTCACTTGATGGTTTCCTCAGAGTATGGTCAATCCATCTCCATTTCTTCCTGCCTATTTGTTGCATAATCGGATCCTGGTTGGTTCGCTCCCAGAGATCCCCCCTGTTGCTGATGTTTTCTGGCCGGCCATCTGATTTTGAGTGGTATTGAGCGAAGACAACTAGCTGTTGATGAAGGTCTGTAGTTTGTTTGAGATGCTCTTTATGACGCGCAGTGCAAGTCTCTGATCCGTATAGTGAGTAGCACTGACTTCACATTGGAGTTGAAAATCGGAATCTTATTTTTGATGCTGAGTGTTGTTGACCTCCACACAGACTTGAGAGTAGTGAAAGCTTGTCTTGCTTTTCCGATTCTTGCTTTGATATCCTCGTCAGTTCCGCTTGTAGTTGAAACGATGCTTCCCAGGTAGGTGGGTAGGTAAAGGAGGTTGTTTCTTCCGGGTTCCTCCTATTATCCTGGCTGACTGTTGTCTGTTGTTGTTGCTTTTGGTGGGATTGCCCAGGAATCTTCATCACCATATCTGTTTTCGGTATGTTCACCTGAAGTCCTATCTTCCCTGGATACTTCTTCTGCCAACTTGTTGCTTTTCGCTTGCATATCTTCCAGTTTGTGGGAAATCAGACATATATCATCGGCGAAGTCCAGATCCTCCACAAAGGTTAGAACCCAGGACCTTCTGGTTACAAGGTAAGCTAGCTCTTAAACCATTCAGCCACTGGGACCCAATCCAAATGGCCCATAAATTCTGATTTCTGCCAACAACTCACGACATAGCGCGACCGCTTCTCAATGTCTTCTTTGATGACTAACTGTCCTCACCTTTGACCTGCCGTATCCTACTGGTCACGGCTTCCCACTAGAACTGTCTGAATAGGGCCAGACGCTAGTGAGCAACTGATGTCGGCTCATGATGAGATCCTCCAACCAATCAAAAAGAAATACCTACAAAACCAATACTTGATGATAATGGATTGTTATAAACGAAGTTTGTTCAGATATATATATATATATATATATATATATATATATATATATTAAAAAGTAGCGCATAAATTCGGTCAAAATTGTTGACAATTGTACTATTTACATTTTCAAGATAAACAATCCTTAACGAAAGCATAGAGAAAATTTGATATGTATGTGTGAAAATGCATGTAAAACTGGTGTTTGTTTGTTGTTAGACCTATTTTTCTACTGAAATTCTAACACAACACAACAGCATAGGTGGTACAGTGTATAGAAAAGGAAAGCGTTGATCTCATTGCTTAGTCATACGGTATGCAGGGGCTGAGAAGAAAAAGGTCATAAGTATATCTGTAGTGTTTGTAACCGCAAGTGTTATATACACGCACAAACACACACACACACACACATATGCCTGCAATAATAATGCAGGTGTGAAAAATGCTGACAGGCACATGTATATGTTATAACTAAATATTTATGCGTCGATCAAAGGTGTGAAATCGAAACTCTGTCAGTATTTTATTGCACCGTCGTCCTATACATTTACACTATTTAAAAGTAACAATTTACTTTTATATTTCCAAATATGAGGATAATGCGTTACTACTCTCTACGTTATTCAGTAGTATAATACGAAAGCGTTAAAATACAATGGTTATTGACCACATTTACAAAAGATGGGTTAACTGAGGGTGAACTTGTCAGGTGATATCTTCAGCAGTAAGTTCAATTTCAGATTTTATGTTATTCTGCTGACGTATTAGGATAATTCGCTAAATCAATGAAAATGCAAAAATTAGTCGTTTTTCTAGCCTTTTGTCAATTATTATTATTACCTTGGGTTCCTAGTGGAACATAGGGCTTCAACTCCACGTCTCCACTTGCTTCTGTCTTCTGCTGTACTTTTCACTTGCATCCATGTTAGTCCATAATGTTTCAGTTCCTGTACACACGATCTCCTCCATGTCACCCACCCGTGGACGTCCCACTCGCCGCTTCCCTATCGGGTTCCACTCGAGTGATGGCCTGATGTGCGATGTCACCCAGTGGCCTCCTCAGCCAGTGTCTAATCCATCTCCACTTTCTCCTGCATATTTGTTGGGCGATCGGTTCTTGTTTTGTTTGTTCCCATAGTTTCTTGTTGGTTCTTGTTCTTTCCGGCCATCTGATCTTCAGTATAGAGCGAAGGCAGTTAGTTGTTGATAAAGGTCTGCAACAGGCTGTTGGAAATATTCTTTGTGACCCACTGGCCAAGTTCCTGATCCATCCGTATAGAAGAACTGACTGACTTGACGTTTGTATAGAAAATCCGAATTTCGTTGTTGATGCCGAGTGACGAAGATTTCCAGATTGGTGTCAGGTTGATGAATGTGTTTCTGGCCTTCCCGATTCTCGCTCGATTTGACATCCTCGTCCGTTCCTCGTGTAGTTGAGACAATGCTCCCTACCTAGATAAGTGAATGAAGTAACCTCTTTCAAATCCCCCTCGTTGATGGTGATTGGCGCTGGATGTTGCTGCTGCTGTTGTTGTTGGTTGGTTGGTTATTTTCATAACCTCTGTCTTGTCTATGTTCACCTGGAGTCCCGTCTTCACTGACTGCTTCTTCAACCAGTTTGTCGGTCAAGGCTTTTGTCAAGCTCGAAAAAATCTCCACATGTTGGTCTTAACTAGTGAGAACATCGACGCAAGACATCATATAATATTAGATTAAATACAGAAAAAAAAATCCCCATTTAGATATTAAGAAAGCAAAAGGATTGAGTGAAGAAATACTTACTTTTCAATTAAACCCTCATCTCTGATTCTACTCTAATATATTATGTATAGCATTTTTATTACATTACACAACAATTTACCAATCAGCAAAATAGCAAATATAGCGGCTGAGGAATGCAGTTGAAAGAGCTTATAATGCTGCAGAGATACGTTGTCTCTTCACTACCAACCTCATTCTACGTTCGAGAAATAAGGATAAACTACCTAAATTTGTCTCCTCTGTGGGTATCTACCCGTTCGACCGCAGCTACGGAGCCAACTATACCGAATGCACAATTGTATATATATATATATATGAGTATAGCTTGAAACCACACAGTAGTTTAGGTACAAGTATGGAATTTTCAGCATGTGATATCAGTAGCCCAAATTTCGCAGGCCGACCATAGATATCGGGTGTGCGTCGGCAGGGGATTGAACCTCGGACCATGTGATTGGTCGGCGAGCATCCTAACTACTGTGCCACCGGAGAATTGAAAGCCATCGCTTGATTTATTTTGTTCAAAGTAAATGTCATAGAAATTAACTACTAGAAAACTTTTGAACACTTCTCGTCCCTATAATTTGAGTGAGCCAATCCTATTCATTGGACAGTCAGAAAAGTTAGGTAACAGGGATCTCTGCAAATCAATAAAACAAGAAGCTATTGTCTAAGAAATATGCTGCAGGAAACAGACACGGAAAAAACACAGACTAAGAAGACGGTTGGGTGACATCGAGCACTACTAGATAGATCATCGGTCTAGTGGAACCCGACTGGGAAACAGTGAATCGGGCATCCGACGGTCATATGGAGATCGTGTGAAGAGATGACAACTACCTATGGGCAATCCTGGAGCAGGCTAAAGAGGACCACAGAGCACAGAGTGAAACGGAGATGTGCTATTGAAGGTCTATGTTACAACACTCGACACACAAAGGAAATAATAATAGTAATAATTCGATGAAGTAGTCAGAACATTCATCTTATTTCTTGAAATCATCACAAAACAGCTGTACATCAGTAGTGGTTCAATGGTAAGACATACTCGCCAACGACGCCGACTCACGTGGTCCGGGGGTTCAACCTCAAACCAACACACTCCTTTACCTCACTTAGCCGGTGGTAAGCCCGATAGGCAGTGAGGGTTGAGCGTGAGGCTTGCAACCCCATCCCATAAAAATCAACACCAGAGCTAATGAAACTTCACACCTCTAGCTTGAAGCCCTATTTTCTGCTGGGAACGCTAAGGAACAAAATAAAAAATCAATCCAGATTATACCCAGTAAAGAAGCAGCAACTATTTTGGTGAATAGTTTTCAGGCGTTGTTCGAATTCCACCGAGAGAGAGCAGTAACACCCGAACGCATTCAGATGTTAGGTTCTAAAGAGGCTAAAATGTGACCTCCTAGACTCCATTCAGACGCTATACCAAAATATATATATGAGCATAATTTAAATATAGCATTCCAAGCAATAAGAGTAATTAGTGATCATTAAAATAAAACTGAATAATAGTAATAATAATAATGTCCTTAAATTTATTCTTCAATAAAAGAAACAAATCCTACGCACCTTTATTTTAAGCACTACTATATATCTCTATGTGTTATCTAATATGACATTATTATCTCTGTTATATCAGTGATTAGCGTTAAAGTGCAAATAAGAAAAAATTAGATGACATATTTTTTTTTAAAAAAAATTTAAGTTTAATGACAGAA